GAAATACTGTCACTTTGATCTCATCACTCTGTACCATTCGTGTGTATGGAAAGGTGGACAAGCATCTGATCGGCGAGTTTCCATCCAAATACTACATGTGAACTTTAAATTGTTTAGTCGACGTTATAGCGATCTTGGGCCTTGACGGTCGGGTATCGGAGAGGTAGTCTGGACAGAGCTCGCTAAGGCGAGTAAAGAGAGACTGTACGCGATGCTTCTTTTCTTCCGCATTCTGCGTATAAATACCAGGTGTTGTCTGATGGGCGACTGTCCACCTTTGGCACATCCCCTCCCCTCTCCTTGATGATTTTTTGCACGGCATATCGCCGTTCTATATTGACGATGAATCTAAACTTGATGGAGATGATCTCTCGTATCCGTTGATACTGACCTTTGTAGTTCGTTTCGAGGACTCGCCATGCACCATGGTGGTCCACCCACCTCCAGCCAAAAGTGGCTATCTCATGGAACGTTTAAAGTGTGTCTCTCCCTATGCAAGGCCAACTACAATGTAGCTGAAGACAGGATGCCATCTTTCCGTCTTTCCTATTCCTACTGCCCTTCATCGGCTTTAAGCGATCGTCGGAGATATCAAATGGGTTATTAAACTTTTTATAGATGGAACCCAAGGCTACTAGCCTTTATGCAACGCAACTTTTATCACGTCACGCCGCTCCGGTCGTCTTGTCCGGTGACCATCTGGGAATCAGCTATAGCGATGAGAATGGAGCTGACCCGAATGGTCCCTTCCAAGTCGTTCGAAACGGATGACAGACGAGTTCTGCATATCTGTTATCGAGGCCCCAAGGGCAACTTGGATTCTCAACTTCTCCGAAGCAACATGATTCCTCACAAATGCTGGTTCGTCTAGGTTCAATCGGGTATATTCAAAAGGTGCTCCATATGGAAGTGGGTTTAGTCCAGGCTCCCTAGGACGTGTTTCCAGGGGGTATCTGCGACGTTGACAATAAACTAGTGGACACAACTTCGGATTATTGCTGACAACGGAGGAGTATTTGATAAAAATAGATTCGACATCAATCACTTCCCTGTTCGTAGTTGTATTATGTAATCCACTCGCTTCGACATATCGTTTCAACTTTTGTTGACGCAATTTCGAAGGTATACGCCGACGGAGCGGAGGTCGACGTGAGATGGTTAGTTGATATTTGCGTTGAAATAACCTGGAATAAACAGGGAATATGACTGTCTATAAATAGAAATATTCTTAGCTGTCTTAGCTGTCTTGGCTCGAGTGGAGAGGGCGATGGCAGTGGGCGATTCAATTCAGCGCTTATCTATTGATCACCCCCCTCTCTTATATCTACTCTGCCCTCTCTTGCTCCTCTCCACCTCTCTCCCCATCCCCCACCGTCTCACAACAGGACTCTTTCTCTTCTCGTCGCTCACATACTCATCCAGTTGAGTCTACTGTTCACCTGGCATCTAGTTTAAAGCATCGCGCTGACCCTGACGAATTCGACCATCCATTTCGCTTCCGTACTTCTGGCTCATCACCCACGTCCCCCAAAACAGCTCCTTGCCTCGCTTTAGCATTTTCTCTTTGGAATACTCTTTCACAACAACAGTTATGAGCTCGAAAAAGATTGCCGTCTTGTCCGTGCTGGCGACTGCACTCGGTGTCAGCGGTCAATGTGCGTGTTCCCCACTCGCTCTACACTCCCCACCCTCTCTTCCCATGCTAGTGGTACGATACTGACAAATATTGTTATTTTGTGGGATTAGATACGGCCACCTATGTCCGTACAGCCTTGCCCTTTCTCCCGACCAGCTATCAATCTTCTAACTTTGCAAACAGGACCCCAACAACCTTCCCCCGACCACGGAACGAGACCAAGTCGGTCAGTTTCATCTTCTATCAGAATCATCGTATCGGTTACTGAATTCTCATTCTTGCCCTTCTCTCTTCAAAACAATTTCCTATCGGGTCGCACTTCGGTATCTATTCCCGTGCGCGCTACAGGCACCAACCAGTGCGGTACAGCAAACAATGATACGAGCCTGTGCCAAAACGTCTATGTCAATAACATCAAGGACTTTTGTCTCTGGGGTGTAGGTGTCTGTCCTAGATTGATAATGTCGACGGCTAACGTTTGGATTGCTATAGCCCCAACAACCTAACTCGGTGATTGGTAATGTGGAACAGATTGTCGTTGCCTATTGCTCGTGCGTGCCTTTATAGAGTCAAAGATAGGGTTCTGACGTTGCTACAGCCAACCTGGACGAGGCACTCGTCTCTTCAAGGAGGGCACTCTCAACTCTGCTCATTTGTAAGTCTAATGTGTCTCTTAAAGCACTATGCTAACCATTGTGTAGCGTCGAGACGCCCGACTATATCCAGGTCACTGGTACTGGCAACTTTCAAAATATCAACATTGCCGCTGGTGATGCAGGAGGAGAGTTGGATCCCCACGGCCCTGGTCAGGCATTTCTCAGTTATGATTACATTATCTCATTCTCTTACAGATGGTCTGGGTAACCCCCATGGTGGTCTCGTCTTTACTAACCATTGGAACAATGGCACCAACGGTCTCGGAGAGGTGGGTCGCGTGACCTTCATGTTGCGATTAGTATCTAATTTTTCCTCTAGCAAATCCACGAATGGACCAACTTTATGAGCGTCAATGAATACTGCATTCGTGTCTGCAAGGAAGGTCCTGGTGCCGCCATGTGGTGCCAGCACATTTATGGTGCGTCGTTTGGTGGTTCAAGAATCTATCTGCTCACATATTATAGACGTTACTGGTTGCAAGTGGAACATGCCCGGAAACTATGATGATGGATTCACCAGCTGCAAGGGTGATAGGTGCGTGCCTTATATCAGAGTACTATAGCGCAACTGACTCGTTTACAGTGGAATGTGAGTTGAAGGAACCCTTCTATTGAATAATTACTAATTGAGTCCAGTCCCATGGGTCTCTATCCCCAAGCCGATGGTAGCACCAGCACCTTCCACCAAGGTGAAGGCGCCACCCCTCCTCCAGTACGTGACTTTCACCCAATCAATTTCCTTTCTAATTCGCTTGTAGCACCCGGCACCTTCGGTCTCAGCCTGCCAGACCTACGACTCTAGCACGCTCTATGCCACCGCGACACCCACTCCCACCACGACCGTTTCGACCACTGGATCTCGCCCCGTCTCTTCTGGCCCCGCGCCCACCAACTCGGGTTCCACCGGCGCCGGCGTTCAAGGTGTCGCCGCCATGCCCTTCATGATGGCCACTTCGCTCATCGGCTTGGTCGTTGCCCTCGGCATCATCTTCTAAGGACATTACGTTCTTTCAAGGAGCCCTTGAGGCACCTCTCCCAAAACCCCCGTTCGAGTTTTCATTTTCTCGACTCTGCATTTGGACACTGCATTTTTTTCACACTCTAGTCCGTCTCCCTTCCCGGTCTGTGTCATTCTAGATTTGTCACATTTGGACATTGAACATTATAGTGGTACTATAACTTGGTTGTGTTGCATAATATTTTGTCTCATTTTTCACACTTGTCGGACTCGTATTTTCTATTCTCTTTCTTCGTCGAGTAGGCGATGACTACTATGATTTACGAATACATGCATTTTACATATGGAGATGCGAGTAGTTTGAACGAGTTATGATGGATGAGGAT